AGACTTAGATTTGTTGGGTAAACTGAGGACCCGCAGGTGTGTCTTGCAAACCCTTAGGCCTGTGAATGGCTTACGAAGGATGTCCCCAAGAAAGGGAGGGGGCCTGATGAGGCCTGTCTGACCTCCCTCCTCCTGGCAGGCGGTTCGGTTCTAGGACAGAACAAAGGAGGGGACAGGTGGCATTCGAGGGCTTGTTCCACCACTGCCATTTCTGCGGGAACCGCACACACGCTAAAAGGGTTCAAAACTCACATTTTCATTTTCCCCACTTCCAGCGGCCGAAGCAGTAGGCAGGCGAGGACCTCTGGCCACCAGACCCGCCCTCCCGTCACCACGGCTCCCAGCGACATCTGCAACCGTGTCCTTGCTGAAGGGGAGGTAACTGGAGGCTGAGTCAGCGTTCCAGAACATTCGGCGGGAGAGAGTCGAGCTTGGCGGCACCAGCTATGGTTAAGAGCTGACGTTTGCATCGAACACCCGGCAGCTCCCTCCCGACGGGGCGTTCCACGTGTGCCACGCAGAAGAGTCCACGGAGGAGAAACTCAAGACTTTACGGGGTAAATTGGGACAAGGGGCCGAGGCTGAAAGGATTTGGGGGACAATTTTATACGCGCTTTAATAGAACAAGAGCATCGATCTACCCTGCGATGGCAACATTAAAACTATTTCCGACCTCTTTAGTTGCAGCACTGAGTATGTCCTATTCGTGTCATTGTTCTGTCGTTTGCAAATCTAGCTTCCTTTTTGTCGATAGTCTATAGAGTACAAAGGGGTTTGTTTTTTTCCTTTCATCCAAATTTTCAGTGATTGTAAAACACTTTTTTTTTTTTTTTCTTTTTGAGGCAGAGTCTCGCTCTGTCGCCCGGGCTAGAGTGTCGTGGCGTCAGCCTCGCTCACAGCAACCTCCAACTCCTGGGCTCAAGCGATCCTCCTGCCTCAGCCTCCCGAGCATCTGGGACTACAGGCTGAAGATACCAAGCCCGGCTGATTTTTGGTATTTTATTTAGAGATGGGGTCTTGCTATGTTGCCCAGGCT